ATGGGATTGCTGGATCATGTGGTAATTCTCCAACATTTTGAGAGGCTGGGCACGGTGACTGACACCTGTAATCCTAGCACTTTGGGAGGCCGAGGGCAGAGTCTCATTCTGTCACCCAGGCTGGAGTGCAATGGCTCAATCTCAGCTTACTGCAACCTCCACCTCCCAGGTTCAAGCAATTCTCCTGCCTCAGCCTTCCAAGTAGCTGGGATTACAGGTGTACACCATCGGGTTTTGTTTTTTTTTTTTTTTTTAGTAGAGGGGGGGTTTCCCCATGTTGGCCAGGCTGGTCTCCAACTCCCGACCTCAGGCGATCCGCCCACCCCAGCTTCCCAAAGTGCTGGGATTACAGGCGCAAGCTGCCACACCTGGCCCATATTCCCTGATTTTAAACCAAGGCAGGATTTGCAGATAAGCAACCACCAACTCCTGCATAGATAATTCTGTTATGGTTGCTTCCATCATTCTACCAGCTTTTATGTCAAGTACATCTTTCTTTGTCTGCTCTCTTCTGTTTCTTTTATGTGTTCTCTGCTTCCCCCAGCACTTAACGCCGTGCATGTGTAATATGTGTATTGCCCTCTACTTGAAGGAGTTGCATTACAACCTGCCTGGCACATAAAAGATTCTGGGGCCAGGCGCGGTGGCTCACACCTGTAATCCCAGCACTTTGGGAGGCCAAGGCCGGTGGATCTCGGGGTGAGAGATCAAGACCAGACTGGCCAACGTGGTGAAACCCCATCTCTACTAAAAGTACAAAAATTAGCCAGACGTGGTGGCAGGCGCCTGTAATCCCAGCTACTCGGGAGGCTGAGGCAGGAAAATCGCTTGAACCCAGGAGGCGGAGGTTGCAGTGAGCCAAGAGCGCCACTGCACTCCAGCCTGGGCGACCGAACGAGAGTCTCAAAAAAAAAAAAAAAAAATTCTTCGTATATATATATGTTGAATGACTGCTCTTCGTCAAGCACAGTATCTTACACATAGTGTGTCATTTTTAACGCATAATCCCCCCTGCTATAATTCCATTCCCTTCATAACCTCCTAGATGGCTGAACCTAAAACAGTTGCCAAAAAATCTTCACATATAATTTTTATTTCATCTATCTGGATTTTTAAGAAGCTTACCAGTACCAATGGTTTTCACATCCACTATATCACACCATAGAAGCTGCACTTGGACCATCTTTCAGTTACTACCTGCATCACCACCCCTCCTACAACCAAAGGGTAACTGCATGTTTTCTCTTTCGTAACTGGCTTCCTATCTTGGTACTATATTACTTTGTGAGATTCATTGATGTAGATTAGCATTATTATAGATTGTTGAAGTTCATAATCTGGTCTTTAGACAAATAGAATGATTATAGGTTGTTTCTTTACATTGCTATATAGTTATCCATTGGATGAATGTTCTGCAATCTATCCATTTTACATTGGATGGACATTTGAGTAATTTCCATTTGGAGGCTGTTATAAAATGTGCTGCTCTGCATTGTAGTATATGTCTTATGGTGGATACTCCCACCTTCCAAAGTCACCAAAGTTCTCAGCGTGTATGAGAATTCTAGTTGTTCCACATTCTAATAGTTTTTTCTTTTAAATCCGGTGGTTTGTAGCAATATCTCATGGTAGTTTTAATTTGTATTTCCCTGGTGACAAATGAAATTGACCACCTTTTCATGTGTTATTTGACCACATGGATACATGCTGTGTTCAGTCTTTTGCTTATTTTTCCATTGAGTTGTCTGTCTTCATATTGATTTATAGAGTTCTTTTTGTAGTCTGGATATGAGTCATTTTCCAGATAGGTGTATCAGAAATACCTTCTCTAATTCTGTGGTTGTTTTTTCACTCATGTTGGTATGTTTTGATTAACGTAAGTTTTTAATTTTAATATATTCTGACTTTTAATTTTCTTCTTTTACAGTAGAATTTTTTGCACCCTATTTAAGGTATCTTGCCCACCCCAAGGTTATAAAGCTGTTCTATGTTTTCTTCTAAAAGCATTATTGTTTCAGCTTTCACATTTATATTTGCAGTTCATCTGGAATTGATGTTTGTGTGTGGTGTGAGATAGGGATGAAAATTTTTGCCCCATAAGGGTATCCTGGCACCATTTATTGAACAGACCATCCTTTCTCCACTATCGCCTTCCATCAGGCAACCATATATATGCATCTGGTTTTTTTTTCTTGTTTATTCTGGTAAAATATACATATCTATCATATTAGCCATTTGTAAGCATATAGTTCAGTGGCACTTAGGTACAGTCACGTTGTTGTGCAGTCATCACCACCATCCATCTCTTAGAACTATTTTCACCTTCAAAATTGAAACCTATACCCATTAAATAATAATTCTCCATTCTCCCCTCTCCCCCAGTCCCTGGTAACCACCATCTACTTTCTTTTTCTGTTAATTGGACTCTTCTAGGTACTTCATTTAATGGAATCATACAGTACTTGTCCTTTGGTTACTGGCTTATTTCACTTAGCATGATTTCTTCAAGCTTCACTTATTGTAGCACGTTAGAATTTCTTTTCTTTTTAAGACTCAACAATATTCCATGTAAGTATATACTGTACAGACTACAGTTTGTTTATTCATCTGTTGCTGGACCCTTGGGTAGCTATGTATGCTATTGTGAATAATGCTGTTATGAACATGGGTGTACAAATAATCTGTTCAAGTCCCTGCTTTTTGGTTGTATACCCAGAAATGGGATTGCTGGATCATGTGGTAATTCTCCAACATTTTGAGAGGCTGGGCACGGTGACTGACACCTGTAATCCTAGCACTTTGGGAGGCCGAGGCAGGTGGATCACCTGAGGTCAGGAGGTCAAGACCAGCCTGGCCAACATGGTGAAACCTCGTCTGTACTAAAAATACAAAAATTAGCCAGGTGTGGTGGCTTGC